CCACCGTGTTCATCGATGATACTGCCCAAATATGTAAAGGTTTTTACATCTTCCAAAGCTTCTCCGTCAATTGTGATTGGATTGGTGCATGCTGTGTTGTATCGAAGAATCTTGCTTTTCCTTTTGTGTATATTGAGACCTATTGCTGCTGAGGCTGCAGCTACACTGGTTGTCTTCTCCTGCATTTGTTGTTGCGTATGCGATAGAAGAGCCAGATCATCATGGAAGGCTTGGAACTTATTGCTGAGGGTTATCTTGAATTTATTGAGTTTGTCATTATCCCGAAGAAGAGCCGTATTAAATTTTTGTGATATTGTCCTCCCCGTTGTCCAGTGCCTCTTGAGTTTCAATTTCATCTTGGCGACCAGCAAGTGATGATCTGATGCTATATCAGCTCCTCTCTTTGTTCTCACGTCCTCTATCGTCCTCCTGAACTTTTTGTTGATGCAGATATGGTCGATTTGGTTCTGTGTGCTTTGATCCGGTGAAGTCCATGTGGTTTTGTGTATGCGTTTATGTGGGAATATAGTGCCGCCTATGATCAGTTTATTGAAGGCACATAGATTTGCAAATCTCTCACCATTTTCGTTCCTTTCTCCGAGTCCGTGTCGTCCCATGATCTCTTCATATCCGGTGTTGTCAATTCTAACCTTGGCATTTAGGTCTCCCATCAGAATAGTCAGGTCTTTTGTTGGGCACTTCTCGACGATTGACTGCAGCCTATCGTAGAATTGATCTTTAGCGTCTTCATTTTAGTCGTTGGTAGGCGCGTAGCATTGGATGACGTTCATTGTAATCCCCGTTTTCTTTGTTTTGAAGGAGGCTTTGATGATCCTCTGTCCATGAGATTCCCATCCTATAAGTGCATTTTGTGCTTGTTTGGATAGCATCAATGCAACTCCTTGTGTATGTGGAGCATTTTCTTGTTCATGTCCGGAGTATAACAGCAGCTCCCCTGAAGCTAGTCGTTGTTGTCCAACTTGCGTCCAATGTGTTTCACTGATCCCATGCACCTCTAAATTGTATCTCCTCATTTCTGCAGCAACTTGGAAAACTCTCTCAGTCTCCCACATTGTGCGAGCATTCCATGTACCTAAATAAATGGTTGCTCTGGTTGTCAGAAGGGGCATCGGCCTCGTGACTTCCGAAGAAACTCGCCTTTCATCATGAGGCGTCATAATTCTTCTAAACGAAGACCTCCTGACTCCCAGGACAGAGTTTAAATGGTTTGAATAATTTTTTCTGGTTAGCGTTTTTTTAGCGAGTTAGTTTTCTACGGGATGGAGCCGCTAACCCCATGCTCAACCCTCCTCCTTTATCCGGGCTTGGGACCGGCAGTAGCCCCCGGAAAGGGACTCCAGGCGGAGTTCCATTTTCATCTGCATTCATTTAAATAATCGTGAGACAATGATAACACTTTTATATGATTGATAGTGATTATAGTATGATGGTAAAGATTTGTAGTTGATCTGGATGCTTTTGGTGGTGTTGTGTTCAGTGAACTAGATGGCTTCACTAGCTCAGCTTTTATTGTTACTCTGAATGAAATCATCACGTACAAGTGATTTGTCTGACAATTTCACATACGCTAAGTCTATCTGTTCTGACTACACTGTATGTCAATGGTTGTTTTCAGAAGCTGATAACAAACAATTTTAATGGGATTCTTGAAGTAGTGACAATAATTAAATCTCTTGACTTTCAACCAGTAAATCACAGGTTCAAATCTTGTTCCTACTTCGCAGTCAGATACCATCAGTAGCCCTTATAAAAACGATTTAACGTAAAATTGAGTTCAGGAACCAGTACTTGGTTAATAAGTACCATATCAAAGTGAACCGTGATAAATAAAGTTAATACAATTTACCACCAAAGTAATAAAACTAACTTAATGTTGAAAAATAAGGAAAATCATAAAGATAGTTATTTATTTGATGTGGAAATAGTATGATTTCGTATTGACTCAACTTACCAGAACTTATATCTACATAAGGTAAAAAAATGAACAAGATGAAAAAATAAGTCGTCAATCATTTAATAGTGAGATTCATACCTGCTGGACAAGTAAGTAGATGTTTAAACTTGGTAACTTAGTAGGTAATGAGATCGCGCTTGAAAGTAATAAGTACTGCATTTGAGTCTTATTGTATAAACATCAACATTGAGATGAGGATACAACTAGCTAACAAGTTCCGTTAGGATGAGATATACATCCCTAATTGTACTGTTAGTCACAGTCTAAATAGACTAGAAATTTGTAATCAAAGGTAACACCGTAACAATCCACACAGGATCCACATATACCAGAAAAGATTGATTAATTAACGTACTTAATATCAATAACAACGAGAAAATTCAAACCCTTATAAAAAGTTAGATAAATTATATAACTTTAAGAATGAACTCGTTTAAAAGGATTCCTTTGGTGAAAAAGTTTACTTCAAAATAAGACTAATGAAGTCGAAAAATGAGTAAATCTATGATACGAAAACTCATTTGAAACTATCATCATTCAAAGTCTTCAATATTTCACAGGCACTAGTCAAAGAAAATTAAGTATTTTTAGAAAAATCAATTAGAAAAAAGAACTTGTGCCTACTATCTAATCAATCGATATTATTTAACTTCTACGTTATGTAGTAATGAGTATTTAAGTAGACTATAACCGTGTCTCATTTAGTATCTGAATAATTGACGACAATAAAATAATAAACAAATGTTTCTGACGTTTTTAACTTCAAAATGTATAATTTACAATGAGTAGCTACTACTATCATTTTTCTCTAACCTTTATTACTGATAGAACTCTATAGATCAAATTGTAGTGCGACAAACATTAGTTTAAATGATTCAAAATTGTGTGAAATATTTTTTTGTAATCTAGTATTTGGAAACAGTTGAAATGAACTTCTACTTGACCTAAGTTTTGAGTTCGTTAACATTTATCAACAATGTATATTAATAGACATAAAGGAACTACTACTCCCCATGGAATTCGAACCTATATCATCCATTTATGTAATCTAAAAATTACTTTGCTTATTGGAAAAAATGTTATCATAAAACAATATCATCAGTTAGGTTTTTATTGGCGGTCTAACATTGATCAGTTCATGATCCTAATTAAAAACTCATCAATCTCCATAATCCTAGACTGATATTTATCTATGAACATAGATAAGCAGTTACAAACTACACAATACGTCATCACTAATATCAATTAGCATAAGTCAGCAATGGATGTGAACGCCGGAGTTATGGCTGAAAGAAAAAGTTAAAACTGTTATGGAATTTTTAGATTCTTGATATTTAGGTCAGTTTGTGATCAGTTGACATGTTGATTTAGATTCAATTTGCCAACCCCTAAGGATTAGGTCAATCAGTCATGTGGTAAGAAGTCATTAAGAAAAAACTGTTAATGAACATGAAAATAATAAACTTCTTGAGGATGATCAATCGATCACCAAAATCATTGGAACAAAATGGAAACTAGTGCTTGTGGGGTGATTTTCAAATTTTCACGCTGAGACTCGAACCTAGTACCTTCCAACTCAGCCTCCAACGCGATATCTACCGAGCTATTGAATCCAGATAGACACTTACTTGCTCAACGTATATGATATTTATTTTACGATTAGAAAGGGTTTGAGTTATTTTATTGTTGATATTCAGAACTGAGTTTTGGTCGATTTGAACCGAAAGTTACTTGGTACGAGTCAAAATGTGAACATAAGCACCGGGATACACTTGCATCTAGCTGACGAGTCCCAACTAGGAAAAAATGTACATTTTAAACCATACTGTTTATTATAATCTTTTTATTCTATGAATCTTACACGTTAAACTCAATGGTAGATATATTTCCTTTTTTCAAATAGATATTAAAGAAGAACACGTATTTATTTTCAGGTATCAATAAATCTATGAATAAAACACTGCAATAATCTATTAGAAAACTGAGTCAATTATTCAGTCAGCATATAGAATTTGTTCTTCATATGAAACTAAAGTGAATAATAGTCAAACAAACATTTTAACCTTCTAGAAACTGAAACTAACTATAATAAATGGAATAAAGTCTGAAATATACTATACCCAATAATTTATTACAAATTACATTTTACAATATAAAGCATAATAGTTGAAAAGTTGGAAACTATTTTTGCTCTCTAATGAAGAAACAACCCGAGCATTATTATTCCCTCATATATATACAAAACACCATAATATTGGACATGGTGTATACGTCAATACTAGTCTTTCTTTCGCTCTCTCATTCTCTGTAAGCACAATATTTTTGGTGCAAGACAGTTCGTGTCTCCTTCTTCATTTTCCTCTTGTTCCCTATTTTCTCTTCATTCAACTTTTTCCTCTTTGTTATTCTTCTCTTTTATTAATTTATCTAATTTGAAGAGAAATGTTACATTTGATTGGTTACAAATGAAATAGTAATCTATTTTCATTTAACCAATGAGAATCTAAATGATCAACTTTAAATTGTTGTTTAACTCTGACATTTCTGTTACTGCACTATTTTAGTAAGAAATAATTTTACAAACTCTATTACACTTTAATTCATTTTTGTATTGTTTGTTTATATGTATGTTTGTTAGTGTGCATTTATTTTTCCTATCTAAGTGACTATTGTCAATTGTACATACACATCTTCTAATTATCAATCAATATGTAGTCCAAAATCTCAAATGTATATATTTAGGTATATATACACAGTAATCGGTAGGAAAAGTAGTTTCAACTTCTAAAGCTATCTATTGGACACTTGGTATATTTCTCTGTTGATCTCTCGCTTCCGTATTAATCTGATTTCCTTTTCCCCAAAAGTATTTAATATCTCTTAATTAATTCTGGAAATAATATCAACAAATTGATTGTACATAATATAACCATCTTTGAGGAGATAGAGTGAGACAAAGAGAGAGAGAGAGAGAGAGATAGAGTGAGAGACAGCAAACGATAGAGAATTTGAATTTTTTTAAATAATGCGGATTAAAATAATATGCAATTTATCAAACTATACATCTTATCATAATCTTATATATCTTCTGATATTACTTATATGCATACTATGCTGTACAGTCAGTTTAGTCTCAAGTAAGTTTTGTGTATTCTATGTCATTTTAACCAACTATACAATATATATATATATATATATATATATATATATATATATTGGTTACTGAAGTAACCAGAGCAACTATATGCAAACATTAAAAAGGGTAGTCATTTAAGTCTAATAAATTTAAACATTGTTTAATGAATATTGAACTGATTTCGTTGGTTGATGCATGCGGCATAGATCAGTAGGGACTGAGAAAAGTGAGAAACTTAGCTAAAGTAACCATATTATTTTTTCTGAGATATTCATACATTTTTATGGCGAGGAACATGTTGCTGACTAAAAACATTGACCTTTATTAATTTTCATATAAAATGCCCTGACAAGTATATGTGTGACCAGATTGTTCGAAATGTATAGCGCAAATACATCACATTTTTCAGATCAACTCCGTCTTCTCATTGTTCTATCGAAATTAAAAACATTTTACCAATCGATCCATGTAGACTTAATAGTTTTGTTATAAACCAATTTGTTCTGTAATTTTTAGTTATTTATTTAGTAATTGAAGTAAACTGTCTTCTATTAAAAAATGTACAACCTAGACATTAGAAAACCATTAGAGGAACTACTATGAACCTCTATGACCACTAAATTCAACGAAAATCACCTACATTCAGGGCTCAAAATAACAATCTAGGAGATATATAAACTTCTAATCTCCTTAACTTCTTAAATCCTAGCGAAGTTGAAAGGTAGAGAATCACCTACATTCAGGGCTTAAAATGACAATCAATTAAATATGAGTCAATTTTGCATCGTAACTATGTGAAAACAACAGTTTATTTAGTAAATATTAATAATATAATTTACATCCGAAGTGCTCAATGTAATAATTAGATAGAAATTTATCATAAATTTTGTTGATAATTACACTTTTTAAATTCATTTAACATCATCTAGGTAATAAATTATTATTATTATTATCACCCAATCACTCATGAAATGAAGACAGTTCATTGTCCAATGTGTTTTGTTAAAATACGCTCTCATATATTATGGACGGAATTTCATTATTATTTCTTATATCTATTTAACACATACCTGATTATTGTATACTTCCAAAAGATAAAAGCACCGATGTAGCATTGATTTAGTTAATTGTTCGCTCACTGATGAAGTCTCATTCTAAGACGAAACGATCGTTCAGTACTTTCAGATTTTCAATAATGGTCTAGCTTAGATCAACTGATGAATTTAACTGTTAAAATTAATTATACTTATTTATTATTTACTAAATAAAAATATTGAGTTAGGCTTTTAGAATCTATACAGTGGATTAGTAACAGAAACGAAACATATACATACATGGAAACACTTATCTTCTTTATTTTGAATAAAATATGTCTGGTTTTTCACTTTGTATTTAGACTAGTAAATACTAAACAAGTAAAACAAAACCCATTTCAAATGATTTTTCTATTGTTATTGTTGACCTATTTAGTTTTTGTAAGTTACCATGTTAAAATAATTAATATATGTGATGATTGTTTTATTTCAATATGGATTGATTTGAGCCAGGGAGAACTGAACAGATTTTTAGTTTCATGTTAATACTCCTGAACTATCCTCATTAATAGATAAAAATTTGGAAATTTTGGGGTCTTGTTACACACATAATATTTCTGTTAATATATATTGAATTAAGCGAATTGATGTCTTCATGAAACGATGGCATTAAAAGTCGATTATTTATCACTATGATACTATTGAAATAATTGATAATTATTATGACTCATGCGGATAGTGAAATAGATACTGAGTTCAAATTGCATTATGAATACGCTGACATTGAGACTCAGTTACATTTTTGTTGATAAGCACCGGATAGAATGGAACACATATGCTGGATTTCATTTTTGGTAGCCACTCATTTAAAATACAATGAATTGTTAGACAATATGATTGATTTTAAAATAAAAACTATACACATAACATGACTATGGATTTTAGTTATTTTAATACATACTTAATACGAACAGAATAACAAATAAATAAACAGTATCATGAAACAAATTGATTAATGAAAAATATCATAATCGTTACATATTCATTTTGTATATTTTGAAAAAGTTATCGGATTTTGGTTAATAAAGGTTACCATAGATGGTTATAAATGCACTGGTAGATTGGAATATGAATATTCTGACAAGAATGTTTTTTTTTTGGGTGAACGTGTTATTTTCATCTATTTTTCCATAATATTAATGATGTACTAGATATCTATCACAATAACAACATCCACCTATTTATAATCATCCCATTATGTAGGAAAAAACAAATATTTAGATTGCATTTAATCCCATGTGATTAGACCCTAATAATAGGAAAGCAGTTATATGACCTACGAAATGTTTTGCTTAACTAAATATCGGATGAACCAGACATCAAGCTATAGTCATCATGACTATATTAATTATGTCGTAGTGTTAACTGATTGATGACAATTATCAAAAAGCATTAGATCTCGATTCCGTAGAGGCAATTGTCACTTGATAACAATGTGAATCTACACGGATGAAGAAATTGAGTCAACTGATATTACAGTTAGAAACGTTACTAATCAGCCATAATGATCCAGACTGACCCCTAGAAAAAATAAGATATGTACTAGTCATTCAATCATATTCAACGCAGAATCCGGGACACATACGAATCGCCTCAAGTTGCCATACCATACTAATAAAGCAAAATGAAATTAATAAAACAAACGACAAAGTAGAAAAAGTAGTAACATAATCTATCGTAATTGAAGAGATTAGATATAGACAATACTACACTAGAGGAATGATTTCACGTGATAAAAAGTATAAAATAATTTGAAAATCAGTATATTTATACTAATCTGTTATTTGATGGCACGCTCTCTCATAGGACTGATAGAATTCTGTTAATTAAAATGTAATGTGGCTATTAGTTTCAGTGACTTAATATAGTAATGTACTATGATTGATACAAAATGTATAGAATTGATTGATAAAAATTTATGTACTTGTAATGCATATTAGTTGGCATTTGTAAACAGGATGTATCTTTAAGCGTGAATGAACTAATGTTCTATCCAGCCATCTCACACAATGTGAAAATAAACTTGAAATAAGACTGAAATTTATGATGAACTGACGAAAAGTAAATACTGGAAACAATGTGATAAATTTGAAAACTTCATTTCTACATGAAGTTTGTGCTGATGATGTCGTTTAGAAGAACGGTGAAAGCTCTACGATCAAACCATCCAGCTCAGGGAACAAAACTTCATCAAAATCATCCACCTAAGCTACAAATCTTTTTCACTATCTTAAGGCACTTTCGTCATAACTATTTTGATTCGATTTATTTACCAATTAAGGACGATCGTCTCGTTCTAGTATGGAACTCATCAGTAGTTAGATATCGGCTCAGTGGTTTAAAGGTTGAACGTTCGCGCGTGAGACCGAAAGTCCTAGGTTTGAGTCTCGCAGGCGGAATTGTGGATGCGTATTGTTGAAGAGTCCCATACTAGGACGAAACGGTCGTCTAACACTTCCAGGTTCTCAGTGGTGGTCTAGCTTACATAGACTCATGAATTCAACCAATAAAAATTATTTGATTTTGTAAAGACAGAAATTCAAAAAGATATCTATTTTTGACGCTTTAGAACTTGTCATTTGATGGCAGTTACATCATTTTTTATGCTGCTTTGAAGTATTATTATTACTATTATTATTATTATCATCAGTAGTACCATTATTATTTTTACGATTATTACAATTACTTTATTATTATATGTGTAAAGAAAGTTTTGAAGACCAGTTGATTATTTGATGTTGGTTTTGTCATTGATTAATATCATTTTAATGTAGAGAGGGATGTCATTTAAATTATGTACTCATTAATATCTATGGTTTTGATGAAAAGTCATGATTAGTCGACTTCAAATGTGTCAGTTGTTATGTAGTTGCCCACTCATTGAGAATTAAATGAGTTCCGATACGTGGATTTAAATGGTACCTAACTTTCAGTAAGTATTGAGGATTTCGAGTTTTAATGTATGTTAATTCGTAGGAAACCCTCTCCTAACTACGTCTCACGTTAATTAACATTATTCATTAGTAAAAGTAAGTCAGCGAAATATTCTGATTTCAATAATTTAAGTATATAACCAATCGAATTGAGTATTGAAGTTCAATCAACGTGTTATGTCCAGCCTTTTCAGTAAGATTTTGGTTCACTTAATGCGTGAACATAATTTCTAATAAAGATTCCATGATTATGACCATCGATCTTAATGTTCTAGAGGTTTACGGAAACTATAATGAAATCAGTAATGATTTCAGTGTTTGACCAATCAGATTAGGGAATAACACAAATTCATTACACTATTGATTTAATTACATATTTTTTAAATGTAATCATCAGTTAAAAGTAACTATGAGCACACTTTTTCCAGATTCTTGACAAGTTTTAAATGTATTTTCGGGAATTTTATTGTTTCAGAAGATTTAGTAAACAAATATTGTAAGTATAGAACGAAAATAGCTCCATACAGAACAATATTGTTTTCTATTGATATCCTTTACAAAGTATCTAATGTGGTTAGCATTACCTAACCGAGACCGTTCATGTTTCACTGAATGATACTAGTGTTAATACGTTGGAATAACTGACTTAATAAATTCATTGTAATAACAGAGTATGAACTATTCCTATATTTATACAGGATAATCATCAAAAGACAGCAGTGTAGAGCGACATCTATAATTGTATAGAAAATGTTCTAGAAGCTGAGAAAGTATTCAAAATCTCTTTTAGCTAGTCCATGTTAATGGAAAGTTTTCGGGGAAATCTTGAAAATAACAAATTATAATTTTCTCTAATCTGATTGATTAAAAGTTGAATCAATTAATAGTCTTAGTATCTTTTCCAAAGTCTTCCTGAATACCAATGTCACTTGTAATCCTATTAATGCTCTTTATGTTCTGCACAAGAACTAAACTTGGAATTAAAGCTTTCTTCACAACTCTGCCTTTTGACTTCGCTAGGGGTTAAGGAATCGAAGATATTTGGAGTCCATAAATCGCCTACAGACTAAGAATCATAGACAGTTAGTCTACAGGTTTTATCAGGAATCATTAACTAACTGACTATATATTTATTAAACATGTTATTTACATGATAAATATTAAACTTAAGTAGTATGTATTTTGAAATAACAAAATTTAAATCAAGAATAAAATTTAAAGGTTACAAAACAGCCAACCAACTTTGTCTGTTAGGTCTAGACTGATGATAAGACTGTTATTCAACACTATTAAACGTGATCAATGTGAATGATCTTTGTGAACTATGATAATCTTATAATAGAACCCAATTACTTCTAATTTCTAACTATACAATTGGTGTAGATCTCATGTTACATTCGATGATGAAATTATAGAACACAAAAATATGATACACTGTATGTATGTATGCATGTATGTGTGTGTATGTATGTATGTATGATTAGATAAAATAATGCAGAAGCGTGATGAACGAAGACTCAGGAGGGGACAACCAATTTATTTACAGAATATCTTGGTAAAATATGAAAGCTATACACTAAGTGCTTCGTTTGCAAATTTCCATAATTTGTCCTTCATTCTCTGTGTGATTCTTCCAGTTCACAATTTCTTTCTATTCCCCTTTCTATTCGTCTCAACTTGATCTTCTTAGCCTTCTGCCACCAGCCATTCAACTTTTGATTGGTGTTAGATACTACTTATATCGACAGACATAAGTAGTATACTCCACAGAAGTACCTCGGAATAACTTGGAAAATGTAAATGTAAATTTATAAATAAATATAAGAATTGTTATTCAGCTATGGTAAAGCTAATCTTGAACATTGTTATTAAATGTTTTAGACATAGATCATTTTAATAGCTTTCACAAATGAACAACAATAACTGACTTTTAGTAAAGTTTAGGGCTAGTAACTCGATGATATACTTTATTTAATGTGAAATAAAAGAAAATACGTATGACAAATTAACAATTATTGTCGACTCAGTAAGTAATCCCGTCGGTGTAATTTCATTAACTCTGAGGTGTGTCCTAGTGGTCATAGAACACTCGATCTACAATTATTATTTTACCTAGGACAGTTTAATTAATCAAACAGTATTAAAAATTTGTAAACATATACATAGTCAAGTTTGATTTAGCGCTTTCAACTGATAAGCTGTTCAAATATCTCAGTAATTTACTGTCCAATTATATAAATATCATAATAAAACTCCCTGTTTTACACCGATTTGAACTCATTGATTATGAATGTTAATTGAATGTACATACATGTGATTATAGAGTGGTTACAATTAACTGTAATGTTAAATGCCAGAACATTCAAACGGAAACATTACAGTTATTGGCACATTTTCCCCCTTTCAAAAGCTGTAGATCAATGCATCGGCATTCATTTATTCAACATCTTATGAATCAAAATAAAAGGAGGTTATATCACTTCAACTGACAGTCAACTTTCTTCACTAATGATGAGTAAACGAGACCGATTTTTAGAAAAAAACATTCAAAGAATGTCATTGTTGAATAACTATAATTTAAATGTATGTTAGAGAGAAATTTCTTGCAATATTGCATAACTCGTGTTGAAAACTAGTTATTGTAATAAAATTTTTGTAGTAGTGGTGTGTGCTGCTGATATCGACAGATATAAGTAGTATGTATCACTAGTCAAAACTGGAATGCCTCGAGGCAGAAGATTGAGAAGATTGGGGAGAAGAGAATGAGAACAGAGTGATCGATATGGAAATGAAGGAATAATGAAGTTTGAGACAATCAATGGACATTTTACGAATGAAGTATTTACTGTATAGTTCTCAGATCTTACTAATAGATTTTGTAATTTTGTGCTCAAATATATTTAGTTATCCCCACCTGTATTCTCGTTCACTACTCCATTACTACTACTGTATAGTTTTCTTATGGTTTGAGCTCAGCTGAAAAAAATGACAAAACTAGGGACCACTAAGATAGGTAAATCTTCTGTTCTAATAGTATGAACTTTATAAAATTCACATATGGTCTAACTCAAAACCATGAATATAATGTTATATGAATAGCGATTCAAAATTCAATACACCATGTGTCCTTAATCAAACTTCACTCAATTTTACATTAAAACATAATCATACTATTCAATATCAACCAGTCGGTAAATATTCTATGTTAGATATGCTTGAGAAAAAATCCATTTATTTACTCAAGTGTTAAATATGATATTTTATTTGACTTTTGTGTATTTATTTCTCTCGTATTTGTATAGGTGAACGAGTTGTACGTATTCGAAGACAAGGTGATGGTGTATTAGATGAAGATATTTCAGCGAGTGGTGGAGACGATGATATACCAGAAACTACTCCAATACCATCGGTATGTAAATAAAATTGTTCCATTTTTTTAAAGATGTTAATCATTCTAATAATGGATAAACATTTTTCTTTCCAAACTACACTAGTCCTTAAAAAATACTTTAATGTTAGTCTACTTAAAGTCAGTTAATGGTGTAAACTACAAAATTCAACAATCTCCAAAATCCCCTCTACCAAAAAAAATAAGGGAAGGTAAACTTATCAGTTTATATCGAGATAATGGCTGCTGTCGTGTTAAAATAGATGGGGGTGCATGTATATATGCATTTAATTTACTAGATAGAACTTCATTGAATGCTCTAGTTAAATTTTATGAATAAATTTCAAAGTCATATAACTGTCTTTTTGGAATAAAATTAATGTCCATGAATTTACAGGGTATCTACTTCTCAATGTTTAATACATGTGAAATATCTGCCACTTTTTCATTCATTTGAGGGAGTACTGACATCTAAGAGCATAACTTTCACCGGAGATCTCATCGCCAACACTAACTTTTATTTTACTTGTTTTTTTATATCTGGCAATTTGGGATCCCCTACAGTGTCTCATTTTTATGGAAAACATTTGTTGATACATGAATAAAATGAAGTATTCAATAGAAATTACACAGTTATATCGAACACTGACATGTACAATAAAAGGGAAAGTACACAAAAATGCTAGATATTACACTTTTATTGAACATTGAGAAAGGATGGCTATCCTTACACAGTTTCACTAAATCATTGGGCAAACTGATCGTTTATGTGATGACTGAATGTAAGCAATTCTAGCATTAACTATACTATTGAAATCTAATTGTATACATATAACATTCTGATTTATCTGGAAGACAATGGTGTACGGTGGCGCGATTTCTTGGATTGGTTGAAGTTAGACATTAACACCATTGAGTGACGGCTTAGTGGTCTAGTGGTTAAGCGCTCGAGCGCGAGACTGGTAAGTCCTGGGTTCGAATCTCGCAGGGGGCGGGGTCGTGAATGCGTACTGCTGAGGAGTCCCACACTAGGACGAAACGGCCGTCCAATGCTTCCAGATTTTCCATGATCGTCTATCTTCAATTGACTCATGATTTCAACTATTGAAATTATCTAGGATAATTTATTTGAGTGATATAATTCAGAATAACCTTATGATTGAGTTTATTTTAAAATTATGCATCATTTTTTCAAGTCTTGTCATTATTTTGACATCGTACCATTGGTTATCATAAATACACTCAGTGACCGAATAGATGTAACATATAAAAGTTTCATTACTGAAATATGATTATAACCGATACTTATACTGTAGTGAATGTTGCTTATGATAACAAGATATAAGTAGTAAATAGCAGTAATCAAATGTGGAATGCCGATCAGCAGAAGATTGAATTGAGAAGAACAAGAAGGAAAACAATTGGGATAACAATAGAATCATGAAGCATACAAAAGACAACTGATGGAAGATGTAAAAATAATGTGTTTAATGTATAGTTTTCATGTTTTATGAAAGCACTGTGTAATTCTGCACAAAACAATAAACTGATTTTTTTCACGTGAGTCTTATTTCGTTACAATAGTAACTAGATTTACCGAAACTAATAGAAAGATTGCAAATCCCATTAAAATGAAATGTTAAAAATTTCACAACATAATTACGTTAATAAATCAACAATATCCAATAATAAATATTCATTAAAAAAGAATTATTGAACCTACAACAAACGGTTAGAAAAAGCAACAGTACAACTAGATTGAAAACTCATCACAGTCAAACCCTGATGAATAAAATCAAGTGAAATGAAACTCTATTACTGTTATAATATGCAGTCTGTGTGCCTCGTTAATGGATAAAGTAACGATATCGTCAATTAGGGAGCGGTGAATTATCGATCAACCAATGACGCCTAAAACCCTTGAGAGCAGTCTAGATTCCTGATTGGCCCTGCTTTCCGCCTAGCCCAGCCAGTTAAGTCCAGGACACAAATCTCAGCCTCTGCGATATGAATCATTTATTTCAAGCCTACGGGGTTTATATACCAACCAGACAGACCAGATCGTACCATAAAATATGAAACAACATTTGTACAAGAATTAGCCAAATGTGGCTGTGAATGAGGGAGGTGGTAACTAATAGACAGGGCATAATTCAAGAATGGTAAATCGTATAATAATAGTCCATAGGTCAAAATAAAGCTTATGATAAGAGGGACATGAATATAAATAATTTAGTTGCATAACAATTATACGACAAAATATACGCATAGTATTGATCCATAAATGGATCCCAAAAGTTTCCATTCGTTATGCTTATCCGGACATAACAATTATGAATTAGAACAACTTTCTATGTAGAGAGATTCACAAACTTCAAATGTAATGTCAAAAAACGTTCGTAATCAACTAAAAATTCAAATACTTTAGTTCTACAAGACATCAGTTGCAACATGAATAGCTTAATTATGTCTTACGCTGTGAATGTGGTTGACTTGAGATCTAATCTCAAGGAGAGCACTAGTTCCCATAAGATTTTAGGTATGTCTTTCTATGAATGCCAATTAGCATGAAGTCTAGATCGAGCTTGGTTTCCTACCAACTACCTCTCATTCTGTAATATTGTAAAAGAAGACGTCGAATTAAAAACTGAACTCTACCAAAATGTCTAATTTTGAATTAATAAAAGTAATTATCACATACATACCGAATTTACACCAAATAAAATCTGTAGGCTTGTTTCACCCCCAAATATTTAATTCTTAATTATATTTCTTAATCGATCTTATGATCGAATATAAAATTTGTCAAGTAGTTGGAGATAGTAAGGAAGAGACCTTTCTCTACGTAAGTTGCGTGTTAGTTGGCATTCATCAACAAGATTTACCTGTATTATTGAAAGAAAGGATGCTCCAGTGTGAGATTTGAATTCGGTCATTCAACTTCACAGTATGAGGCTGTTCGTGTCACAGATAAGTCTAAAACTTGTATTCGTGCTAATTTATAACTTGATTGCCGAATGTACCTGGTTTCTAAAGTTAATTATTGCAATAGCATATCTTTAGATGACTAGAATACCTTGTGTACTATTTGAAATAAGATCGAAAGTTGTACTATGTTCTACTCATAAATTCGCAGTGATTATCTGTTTAACATAATCTACCTTATAACGACCAAATCCTTCATCTATCACATGAGACAAACATTCATTTCAATATTTATTACATATCTTTATGAATTATTGAAAAGTATGTATATATTCATGCATGAAATATTGTATATCGTTTTCTTTCGCTTGATTTTTTTCAGAGTGTTAAAGGTCCTGGACCATTTTTGCAGCCAAATATAGTAACAGGTCCTCGAGGGGCTCCAGGTGAACCTGGTCCACCCGGACCATCAGGACCTATTGGACCACCAGGAAAAATTGGTGAACCTGGGCCACCGGGACCAGCTGGAGAAGATGGTGCACGTGGACCACCAGGTCCATCTGGTGATCCAGGAATCGACGGTAAACCAGGTATAGATGGTGAATCTGGTTTACGTGGAACCCCAGGTCCACCAGGACCAGTTGGTCCAATGGGTTTAATTGGATCTACAGGTCCACCAGGTCCAATGGGTATACCTGGTCTTAAAGGTATAAAAGGTTCCCCAGGTATTGATGGACCAATGGTAAGTCAAATTTGTTACCAATAGTAACATATATTAGGAGTAGATGTTTCATGTCATTGAGAATTTTACAATGTTGATAATATGTCACGTTATAGAAGCAAACAAACAAACTATATATTACGGTTTCTAATACTGGAAGACATGCAATTAAAAAACTGTTATTTGATTTTAAACATATTTTAGATAAAGAAAAAGCTACAAAAACTCTGTGTATGTTTTTAGTTGTTAAGTGTGTTTTGTCAATAAAAACTGTTTGATGTCATTTTGATACCGAGCATATAATGCTCTAATTTCTAATTTCTTTGAACAAAAAATCCACAACACCTTAATCTTTAGTAAAGTCACAATCAAGTCTACAAATGATAGATTCAATATGTGTTAAGCTCCTTTATGATTTCAACTTAGTTTTAAATAAAAATTACAAAGTGTGATATTTGAGTCTTTTAGCACAGATTTTAATTTGGTGATATCATTTTCTAATGATTACAAGTTTTAAATCCCCACAATATTAATTTATTATCTCTGTTTGTTTGATACAGTCATCTCATTCTTTAGTTATCCTCCAGCACTGACAAGGGGAACAGTTATTCAAAGATTTGAAACAGAGTTTTACTGATGTCATCAAAACAAAGGCCTCATGGTTTTTTTAAAAAAATTAGTGTAGTGTTCATGTTCCGTGCTACTACGTTTTCTTTGAATTGCTTTAACTTTTATAGTCATCAAGTTTGTAAACGTGGATGTGTAACAAGTTTTAATACTATTTTGGATAATAAATAAAATGTGTCCTAATCCAGAAAAGTAAAAGTAAACTCATGTTTTAGACTAATAACTAAATCTGCTGTCTTACTTACAGATCATTCAGTGTTGGAGTTTCCTAAGGACAGCACGTTCTTTATGTAGGGATTCCCATGAGTCTATGTAAATAACTTATTTTAAAGCTTCATGAAGGCTTATATTTTCAGCTCGTAACTAGTTGTTATTTACGTGATATATTTTTAAATCGTTGAATTACTATAAATTGACTTTAGTAAATATGTATATTTGTATTTTAGGGTGAACGAGGTGAAGTTGGTCTTCCAGGTCCATTTGGTCCACCTGGACCTAAAGGACCAACTGGATTACCTGGTGCTCAAGGCCCAGTCGGTCAAATGGGTACACAAGGACCAGATGGATTTCCCGGGCTTATGGGTTCTATGGGTCCTCAAGGACCTCCAGGACCTTCTGGAATGATTGGACCAGTTGGTTTAAAAGGTGATGAAGGACTTCAAGGTGCACCAGGTTCTCTGGGTGATCCTGGTGATCCAGGCTTAGATGGAAGTCCAGGAGCTGATGGTGAACCTGGACCGATGGTAACCTGTCTTTTGTTTTGTGAATTACTAGTCTACTTCATTTTTAGACTTATAATATCTTTAACATATTTCTGTGAATTTTTTAATATTTTATTCGGTTAGCCCGTTTAATGTAGCGTAGTTCCAGTACTGACTCACTCTCATCATCATGTATTCCTAAATTTGTTCTAGATTAGTTAACTTAAATCACCTATATTGAAAACAAAACACCCAACTTTCTGTTTTAGTTAGTGATCCACTCTGTTCTAACTAATGAGTATGAGACAACTGTAGATTACAGACATGATAGTTAAAGATGTCTTAATAGGTTACATGTGGTATCACAAATAAGTAACCAACATTGAGATTAAATAAAAAGTCTTTGAAAAAACTGGATTGAGAAGCTGTTATAAATGAAGTGATTTGATTATATTTTGTACATGCCAGTTCGTTATCTATATCAAAGTACAATACAGCTCAAACTAGGGTCAATGTTGAAAGAAAGCTGTTCGTATGAGTTATGCAAAAAGACATCGACTTCCTGACTGAAATTCTGGCCACGAAAGAACTATGGTTAGGAATCAAAGAAAACACCTTTTGAGGCCTTACAATGTATTAGATATATTAACTCATTACTTTTTGAAACGAACATGTTACTATTCATGCATCTTTTGTTTGTCTGTTTTAATGTCTTTCCATCTATGGTGATTTCTTTTTTTCATGTATTGTTGCAATCTCGGCTATCCTAAACCGATATAAATTGATGTAAGCATTATTATGGTAGAGGACATATCTGTCTAGTTATCAGTATGTCTAATCATGTTTCACTTCGCTGGTATATTTTGCCTTATAGTAAACAACACTTGTAAAAAAATTTGATCAATATGAGTTTGAGCCACTAATTTTCAGTTGTTATCGAGGCCTAAATCATTACGAAATACTTACTACCGCGTAGCTTAAAAGTTAAAATGGGAACTTTCCAGTGCTTCTTAGTATTCAGCGGTTGCTAATTTAGTGTGGTCTACTATAAAAACATATTTTGATAAACTGTTTTAGATTTTTAACGGTTGATTATAAAATTGAAATCATTGATTATGGTGAAATAACTATGTTCATTGAAATAATCTAACATCGGATAAGTTCAATCATAAGCTTTATACCATTTTATCTAATCTACTTTAATAGTTTTTTCCAATCATTTCTTGTTGACATTTAGGGTCCTACTGGTAAGGATGGACCGCCAGGATTGAAAGGTGAAAGAGGAATTCCAGGCCCTATGGGACCTCAAGGAACTCCTGGCCCAAGAGGATTGTCTGGAGGACCAGGTTCACAGGGGACGCCTGGGGAGAAAGGGGCTGAAGGAGCTCCAGGACCACAAGGACCTACAGGTCCAGCTGGACCAATGGGACCACCTGGAGAACCTGGTGATAGAGGGCTATTTGGTCCGATGGGAGATATAGGAAAGCCTGGTCCACGAGGTCCACCAGGTGAAACTGGACCGAAAGGAGACACAGGGGTGATTGGTGCTCAAGGGATGCCTGGAAATCCTGGATTAGACGGGTTACCTGGAATGCCTGGAGAAGCGGGTAGTGATGGTGAAATGGGAAGACAAGGTATGCCCGGTCCACCGGGATTACCTGGACCATCTGGACGAGATGGTGAACCTGGTCCGAGGGGTTTTCCGGGTTCAAAGGGTCAAGATGGCTCTCAAGGTGTACGCGGAGTGATAGGACCAAGAGGCCCTTCAGGAAAAGATGGAGATGATGGTGAAATGGGTCCGGCAGGACCACCAGGACCTGCGGGACCACCTGGCCCATCTGGACCACCGGTAAGAAATACTTTTCACACATGACATGATAGAATATAACTCACTTTAATGTATGCCCACTCTATCATTGATAGACTAGCATGACAGAGACTAGTAGCTTAGAAACCAACAGTTTAAATACAGTACGACGGAGATTTTGATTCAACTTTCGGAATGACATTCATATGTTTACATTCCTTGAAGTTAATTAACTATGCAGTTACCTGATGTAATATTAAAATATCATGTAGAGAAGGCATTTCCGAAACATTTTACAAAATTAGATAAATGAACATAATAAGCAACATTTACATCTGAACTCATTACTGATTATTTCATTAATTTGACTCGTAGAAGTTTAAAAAGTTTTATTATCTGATTTTAACTAATCAATATGAAATACTTTTTAGTTTCATAAAGTTTGACAGATGATATTAACTACTAACAAAAAAATTATCGGTATGTGCAATATTTACGATCCAGTATGGAAAATTTCATATAATTTTATACTGTCATAAAACAGAATGACGACATACAATCACTTCGATGTTAGGTGGTTGAGGGATGTAGTCTGAAAACCTTGTTCTATCTGCTTTTTATGTTAAATGGTTCTTGACAGTAAAGACTACCTTCAATCTTGTGAGAGCTGATGGTCCCTGTAACGTTCAAACCCTTGTCACCCGATTTCATAGTCTGAGGTTTTACTAATGAGCTACTCGGGTGTAGGTGACCTCAAGTAGGACTGAAATATCTACATCGATTGGTCACTAGGTATTCATTATTCAGTGTAAATCTCTACTATATTCATCAGAGAGGCTCTATCAAGAGGTTATAAATGATTTGTAGATTTTTTTATCATACAATGATGTGAATAAGAGAGCTGTATTAGAGATTGATTTGCACTAATTTAAGATTATTCATCTCATCCCACCTATACAAGAGGTTCTCCATCAAGTATGTTTCGGTTGGCGCTGTGTTGTATTTTCTCCTAGTGAACGTTGAGGCCTACTGCTTTAGAGGTTGCTGTTACACTAGCTGTATGCACCTGGATTTTTTGATGTGCATGGGATAGAAGAGCCACGTTATCTGCGAAATCGGATTAATACAGTTGCACTTAAAGTAAGCAGTTTTATCTGACATCGGTCTTCACTTGGAATGCATCTTTGAGCTGCCTTCTCCGTTTCTTTATCCTCATACAGCATCATAAAAACATTATTATTTGAAAGGGTTTAAGCTATCTGATTGTCGATATACAGGACTGAACTTTGAACAGTCTTATTTAGTGAAACTTCGGTCATTAACATCAACAAAGGGATAATAATAATAATAATAATAATAATAATAATAATAATAATAATAATAATAATATGTACACCATACTGGTTTAGCAAATTAGTGTCTATTTGGGTTCGGTAGCTAAGGAAATAACGCATTAGTGCTTGAGGTGCAAGATACTGAGTCCAGGTTTTAGTGTGAACAGTAACATTGGGACTCAGATAAATCTGACTGATAGGGAGATACGTGTGTTCCGAATTCTCTTGCTAGTCAAAATCCACACTGTTTATAAGAGGGATTATTAAGTTTTATAGTATGCATTGAAACACTTAGATGTTGAGTTGAAATTTAACAGAACACATTTTTTTCTAAATTAGTTAATTCTTAGTGGTAAATAATAATGATGATGGTTGATTTGGATGAACACGAATTGATTTTTAATCTAATAAATCGAAGCGTAAAACACTGAACTAGAGTCAAGGAAGAAAAACAGTGAGAAAAATGAGATAAAACATTTCGTCTGTTCTGCATATTTTGTAAGTTTCCGTGTAAAGACATGGTCTATTGAGAGAGAAGTAATCTGGTTGTACTTATCAGCTATTTTGATCCAAAAGTTATGTAAATTTGCCCTATTTTTCCTTTTTTTTAAAAGGGTGTACGTGGTGGTCGAGGCTCATCTGGTGAGCCAGGTGATCCAGGTCCTTCAGGTCCACAAGGTAGTCGTGGTGCAACTGGTGCCCGTGGGCGTCGTGGGAAAGTTGGAGTTGCTGGTAGTCCTGGAAGTATTGGGGGTATCGGAGATAGAGGTCCACCTGGTCCGATTGGACCATCAGGTCAACCTGGTCCTATTGGACAACCAGGTCAACCAGGTGGTAAAGGTCCGACTGGAAGAGATGGAAAACAAGGTACAGATGGAAAGCCAGGAACTCAAGGGCAAGTTGGTTTACCAGGCCCAATTGGTGAACGTGGTGCTGCTGGTGAAGACGGTGAACAAGGTTATCCCGGTGTACAAGGTCCCAAAGGTGAAGTTGGTTCACAAGGCATACCTGGACGTACTGGACCAGCTGTAAGTCATTAAATGTCGTAACATAAATTATTGGTTGATTAGCAGTTTCACTGAATTAGTTTTTTATATCATAACTACAATTATTATGTATTTTTTACTGTACTTGTTACATAGAATACAAAATGATTATCAAGGTATATTATTTTACTTTGACCAACTAACTGTAATCAGTTGATCAAACGGCAAATTGGAGTACTTACAAACTGCTACAAATTAAGTTTTTCTACCATATTCCGTGTTTGTTGGCTGTTTATTACATAAAATTTGTGTAGTGAAAAATAATTTTTTACCATGCTATAGTTACCCACCAATAAGATTGAACATTGGCTGTACAATTTATTGCCGATTGGCTGAAAATGTGGCATAATAGATCACGTCTAAACGCATCATGCTAGCTCTAGCGTTTCCTCCTTTGTGACCAAAATACAGTAATATCTATCTTCAAGTTAATCTTTGCTGCTCAGGTTGCGTCCAGTGAGAATCGATGCACCGTCAGGTTGTAACTACTCGTTTCCACTTTTTTATTTGAATGGTCTTCCAGCTCTCCTACATTGTTCGGATATTCCGAGTACTTGAATAAATGATTGCCTAATTTTTTTAAAAAGGCTCATCAACCTGCTAGCTTCCGAAAAACCTCGATTTTCATTATGGGGTTTTATAACCCTCCGCTCCTCACATATTTTGATCTGCAAAACTGGGTAATATTAATGCTTACACATTTAGAATGTGATTTTAAATCAAGCATGAGAATTTATACCTAGTAAATAAGTTTTAATTAAAGATATGAACCTGACAATCATCATCCTACAAATAGTATAACCTTGTCCATCTGGCTCCATTTGTGTTCAACAGGTATTGTTTGTGTTGATAATGATTAAATAACTACCTTCAAAAAAATCGATATTAAGATCCATTGAATTGTTAGTTGTACTGTTACGAATTTATTCCACAGTCTTATTTCTAGCTAAATAAGATCCGTAAATAGATCGTTTTCAATGGAATGTCTTGTTAAAACAGATTTTTTATCTCTTCAAAATCTTCCTTGTTTGTGACAATTTACTTGTTCTGTTTCCAATTACATTGTTTAAAACATTCCAAGAAATTTTCAAGATTCCAGGCTTTTCAGATGCTTTGCCATTTCACAGTTGTTTGTCTTCACATATTCCTGGTAGATCATTTCACATTTTCGGGGCCAACATAATCACTGTTATAGAAGAGAATTACAGAATGACCGGTCAAAACTCTCATTCAGTCACAGTTTTGATACGTCATCCTAATGGTCTTCCCTGAAACGTTTTCTTCAATAAGTTATCTCCATAATCAGTCCTCAATATTTCATTAATTACCCGAGTATTTTCTCATGTTCCTGCAAAGATCTGAAAGTGATTAGTTATTCTTATGTTTATTGAACAGAGCATGTATACTTACTCTTACTTTTCCATTTTCACTGTCTCTCACACACACATTCCTTCCGCACAAAACAGGGGCCACCAGGAGTTCGAGGTGGTTCGGGTCAAATGGGTTTACGAGGAACAAAAGGTCCACGTGGTCCACCTGGAGAAGATGGACCACCTGGAAAAGACAGTGCACCTGGTGAACCAGGACCACCGGGTGAACCAGGTCCACGAGGACCAATTCAAGTTCAAGGTTATGATAATGGTAAAGTTGTCGGTCCACAAGGAGCTAAGGGTTTACCAGGATATCCTGGACCACGTGGAAGACCAGGAATACCAGGTAAAGATTAATAAAATTAATCGATAACTACTTTTTAATGTCAAACTATAAATCTAGGTGTTTTATTATAATTATAATGACAACAATCACGACAATTATTATCATCATAGAACACTGAATTATTACTATCATTATCATTGGTTATTAGATATCGTCGGTTCCTTTTTTAAATTCACTTCTTTTCAGTTATTCCTATCAGGTCAACTGCTTAGTCACTAAAAATTGGCTTAACTGATACATAAAACAGTTGTTTTAATTACTTGACGATAATACGCGTCAATGACAGTAATAAATGGAAAAATACATTATTTCAAAGTTCCAAGAAAATTAATAACAAATCATCCTAACTCAGATGGTTATGAATTCAAAGAGGAACTGACTAGACAATTAAAAGAGGTAACTCCTGTAATTCTAGTGAAAGGCTGTGGAGAACCATGAAAGCCATCATCCAGAAGATACAAGTGTTTATTAACAGTTGTCTACGCAAAATACTTCGGATCCGCTGGCCGGACACTATTAGCAACAACCTACTGTGGGAGAGAACAAATCAGATCCCAGTGGAGAAAGAAATCAGGAAGAAACGCTGGAAGTGGATAGGACACACATTGAGGAAAGCACCGAACTGCGTCACAAGACAAGCCCTCACATGGAATCCTCAAGGTCGAAGGAGGAGAGGAAGACCAAAGAACACATTACGCCGGGAAATGGAGCTAGACATGAGAAAAATGAACAAGAATTGGATGGAACCAGAAAAGAAGGCCCAGGACAGAGTGGGTTGGAGAATGCTGGTCGGCGGCCCATGCTCCATTGGGAGTAACAGGTGTAAGTAAGTAAGTAAGTAAGTAAGTAAGTAAGTAAGCCGTGGAGAGTGAACTTCAACCACGCCTGGTATAAGGTGGTTAATCACTGATGGTACTAAGAAATGGTTGCGCTATTTCATAAACCAGTTGAAGTACAGAATGTCAACCGTTGGACGTAAACTCAATGGTTTAGAGGTAAAGTACAAGATCTGTAAGTCATAGATGTGTTCTTTTGTGGGATCGAGAATCGGCAGCACCAAGGAGTCCCATACTAGAGTTAACAGCTATCAAATGCTTTTCGGTTTTAATGTTTATCTCACTAAGATCAATCTACTCTGTGAATTACAAAACTAGTAGGCTATTGCCAATTTATTTTAGACTGCTTTTGTATAGACTTTATATAACATTCAGATAAACAGCAGATATAAATAACAGAAATATTGAAATTCAGAGAGCGCAATCCATTAAGTGTTGGGTACCGAAGAGTAGGTTGAAAAAAGTCAAAAATTGACAGGTCGAGATATAGTATTTGTTCATAAAGTCACTAATTGATGATCTAAACCAGATTGGTAGTTACGGACTTCCTGATTGTTATCTTCATAATATACCCACGATCAATCATTGAAAATGTTGTGTAATGTGGTGATAAATCGGTTGAAGTGTTACAGTTACATACCGATCCTCAATCTTTTACTAAATTTAAGTATGTATTCGTAGCTTTTTGCTACCAGCTAAATTAGTCATTAAAAACTAAGAAAAAACATATTTCAAACTTAGGACACTATTACAGTTAAGTTTTGCTTGAACATATACTGAATGCTTTAAACTGATTGACTATTTCTTCTTGACACTTATCTACCATTTTGAATTTCCTTTACAAAATATCAGGAGCTCCTGGTGATCCGGGACCTATTGGAGAAGCAGGAGTACCAGGTGAAGACGGTCCACCCGGTCCTGATGGTCCACGTGGAAAAGATGGAATTGATGGAGCACCTGGTCGACCAGGAAAATCAGGTAAACCTGGTCAGTCTGGAGCTGTTGGAGCTCAAGGACCACCTGGAAAACCTGGAGATGCTGGGTATGCTGGTCCGCCAGGACCCTCGGGAATTCCCGGCCCTTCTGGAGAACCTGGTCTACCTGGAATAGATGGTATTAACGGAACTGCCGGTGCCCAAGGAGCTCCTGGCAATCCGGGTGCACAAGGAGCACGTGGTGCTGCTGGACCTCCAGGAGTTGATGGTGCTAAGGGTCCACCTGGTGATGAAGGGCCAACTGGTCCGAGAGGTCAAGCTGGTCCAAGAGGAACTCAAGGAAAAGATGGACTTCCTGGACTTCAGGTAATAATTTGAGTAAACTTGTTAATTCGTCTCTTTGGTTTATAACTTTGTTATGGTGAATTAATGTAAAAATATCAAAGAACATTCAAGAAGTAAGAGGCTACTAGAAGTTTCATTTGTGTTCAGCAGATTGATGAAGTTATAGTGTTGTTTTTAATAAAAGAAAGAAACCAATGTCACTTCTGTGTGACTACTCTCATAGTCGAATATCAATAACAAACAAGTGCTTTTTCTCCCATCATAACTTAATTGACATTTAAGTGAACCATGACAATACTGTTCCACTGGATTATAATCTAATACATCGGGGGACCAGTAATAGATTAAACTGAATTCATAGACTATTCATAAATAATATATGATAATGTATCGTAATCAATTCATTGGTACAAATTTCTAAGTCATTACCAAACACATCCTGAAAATATGCCAGGGAGGAATAAAGGATTATATATCCACATAAGCTCTGGACGACTAAACCTATGGAAGAACTGGTTACATTTTTAAAGCATATAAATTTTTTGTATAAACCATTATGTCTCATATACATTTTCAAATGAATATACACGCAAATAGCTCTGTTCCAATTGGTCTTTTAAGGTCAAAACATTGCTCAAGGTCAATGCAATTTTTGAGAGTCCTGCCTAAAATACTAAGATTTTTTTTTATTTTAACATAATACAACACATGAATGATTAAACTCTTGGAAATTTAACGTTTTCGAAACGTCAACATTACTTTTCTAACACAAATCAGGAAACTTAGCAGAACACAAATATTAATTATCATTAATATATACAATTGAGTTTAATTGAAATGGGTTCTTTTTATTCTTGATCTTTGACTACTCTTCCTTCTTATCCTCTTTTTAGGGGAAAATGGGTGCTCCTGGAAGACCGGGAGCGAGAGGATCAGCTGGGGTTATGGGAGTTCCAGGGCCGCAAGGGAAGATAGGACCTCCAGGAAAAGAAGGACCAGAAGGACCGTCTGGTCCTGTTGGACCACCTGGGCCACCAGGGACAGATGGAGAAGTAGGTGGTGTAGGGCCAGTGGGAGAAGCTGGGTCCCCAGGACAACAGGGTCTTCCTGGAGAACGCGGGCTTCAGGGTCCACCAGGTCCCGGAGGGGAACCAGGCCCACCGGGGCCTAGTGGTCCTTTAGGAATACCAGGACCAGACGGACCAAGTGGACCTAGAGGTGAAGTAGGTGATCCTGGTGTAGATGGTGCTCCAGGGGGAAAAGGCGAAGATGGACAACCTGGACTTCCTGGAAGACCTGGAAAAGATGGATCCCCAGGAAGGCAAGGGAAGTCTGGACCACAGGGCCACAAAGGTTGGACAGGCCCTCCAGGTGACCCTGGTCTTCCAGGCATAGCCGGACAACCCGGTCAACCAGGACTTCGAGGATATCGTGGACTTTCTGGCTTACCGGGAGAAGTCGGACCTGTCGGTGCCCCAGGACCTCAAGGTGAGGCTGGATTCGTCGGCGAACCAGGTCCTCCTGGCGGACCTGGACCTATTGGAAGAGATGGACCACGAGGACCTCCTGGACATATGGGAAGTGAAGGACCACCTGGGCCTCCTGGGCCTCCAGCTATGAGTTATGGAAAGATGTATGGAGATCAAAAAGGCATCACTTTAGAAATGCCCAATGGTACACGCAGTTTTCCAGCAAGATCATGTAATTATTTATCGCGTACACATCCAAGATTACCAGATGGTAAGCAAATTTTATTCATTAAATTATCTAAATTTCAAAACTGATCCACTGAGTGATAATGAAGAACAGATACTAGATGCAAAGTTCGTTACTCAGTACTCTGCTATAATATCTAAATGATAGTTATCAGACTAGTGTTTTTCGGAAAGGAAATAAAAGATTTGAAATCAAATCATTGACGCTTAGAGAATACAACGCCACTAAATCAGACTAATGTATAATCCTTTGTATGTCATATTTTCACTGAATAGGATGTGAGTGAAATGTTGATTCAAATTATATCTTTTAATAGATGGCCGGTGTCCAAGATTCATGTTATAACTTGTCTATATCTATTCAAATTTAAATATGAATACAATAGTGAATGTGAGAATTAACCCAATAAACGACCTCAATACAAATACGCTTCAACCATACTTTTAATATAGCCCCAACGATACCTGAACCCGCTCCCAACTACTGAGAAGACGAAAGAAAGAAAAAGGTTGATTGTTTACTCCAATTGAAAATTACATGAGGAAAAACCTTGAATATTTGTTGAATCTTTCAGTTTATTCTTGAGAATCAGTGAATAAGGATATGGATCTTACAGCTCCAGAATAAATGTTACGCACAAGGTTCAAACCTCAAAATTGAACAATTTTGAGAAATAATCCATAAGTAGTATGTAACACCAACCAGAAGTAAAATGGCTAGTAGTGAAAGGCTGAGAAGATCAAAGTGAAGAGAACAGGAATGTAAACAAAGAATAATTTAGTAACAACAGGAATGAAAGAGCGATGAAGTTTGTCAGAGACGACTTATGGAAATAAAGTATTTAATGTATGGTTTTCATATTTTACGAAAACATTCTGTAACTTCGTACTAAAACATAAACTTGTTGTCTCCACCTTAGTGGTCGTTCAAAGCATAGAAACCAAAGTCTGTTTAGGTTTCTCTACGCTAAATATTCTCTTTGCCCATTTTACATCGTTTTGTTTTCTATTCCGTTTTTTCTTTATTCCAAGGTGAATATTGGATTGATCCTAATGGAGGTTCAAATAAAGATGCTGTTAAAGTATTCTGTCGATTGAGCTCGGGTGAAACATGTTTCTCGCCTTTAACTTCTTCCTATCAACAACAACAAAACAATAATACCGATATAAACAAAAAGAAATATTTTGATCAAAAAGATATTTGGTTTAGTCAATTATATGATGAAAAGCAGGTAAGAAAGTCAATAATGTCTTTAGATGGTGACAAATAAACATATGTGCTCAACAGTGCTTAATTTTGAAAGTTAGTTCTCAGAGTCCTAGCGTAAAGCTTTAACCAGGGGACCTTAAACATTTCTATTGTGAGGTAGCTGTCCAGAAATGACACTGGATAATCCTTGAGTTGCATCATGAACTGATTGGAGTTAGAAATGTAAACCATCAGATGTCAGTTCAATAATTGAAATGTTAGGCTCTGAAGATCTTAGCTTTGATCCCCTACCAGACCGTAAATTGGTACTTCTGTGGAGTCTAATATCAGGATGAAGCATCTCTCTAATGCTATCTGTTTCAAATGATTGTCCATCTAAGATATGAAACAGTTATCTAACAAACCTCATTTTCAGTTTCACTCATTTATCTCCATCGTATTGGTTTAAAATTAGGATATAGGTTTTATAGTTGATCGGTAATATCACTGAATTAATCATTTGACTGTGAGTTTAATGAGGTGGCATGTGAACAAAAAATTAATTTAAAAATGATTTTCATAGTGGAATAGCATCACCTTCATGAGTCATAAGTAACTGAAGAACAAACACATATCAGTTTTAACTTCACGTGGAACTCCTTATCAGGTTGTATCCACGATGTCGATGAGTATCGGACCCAGGATTTTTAGGTATTGTAGTAAGTCCGTTGCCTTTAGATTACTGTTATAGTTTTTCACTGTTATTAACTTTAGTAAATGCTTACATTCTCTTAATGACTGAACTCAGTATTTGCAACTCCTCACTCGCAACTTAAAAGATTCATCTTGAAGCTAGCCACCCCTGAGCAGATGACCTACGAATATCAGTCTGACTAGAAGATGATTTATATCAACTAAGAAACTATTAGGAACCATCATCATTTTAATTTGGTTTAAACTGTGTACAAAAGGTTGTTGTATCTGACGTAAAACTATTAAATATTCGCAGTTAAAAACCAGGTTTTTTCTCGCGATATTTATTAATTGCTGAATAGTAATCAATGTTATGTTCCTCTAGTCCTTTGAGGTGGTCGAATTCAATCAGTGAAATTAAGACCAAAGGCCTAGGTTAGATAGAGCTTTGTAACTATTATCTTCGACCATCTGATATCAAAACACAATGGTCGCGCGATATCAAATCACTTGCATTAGTGTTCCAATATCAAGTAGGTTAATAGAATTCCGTCAACACCGGGGATTAAATAAATATTATCAATAATAAGAAACTTCTTGTTATCTGATTCTTATTTTAGCAGAAAATTCCTCCCCGATTTCCGAAGTATGGTTTTTAGTGTAAGTAACCTTTCACCAAACTAAGTTATTTAATGGTAACGTCATTTAACTTCGACCAAATTGGATTGTCTGCTTGTTGGCTGAAATATTTCAACATGCATTTTTCATCTGAGATGAAATAGATCAATTTCATAAAGTCTATATCTGCCAATGTAAACTAACCACCAACTTCCTCCTTGTCATAGATCAGTAGAATAGCAAAATCCATAGGCTGGGCTTTATTAGATGAAGTGCTTTTGGTTTATTTTCGTTCTCTGAGCTAGGTGGTCCAATCGTGAGGTTTTCATTGACTTTCTAGAAAGCATCATTTGTGTAAACTTCAGATTGAAGCGAGCTTTTCAAATTATTCCACCTATGACTAGCAGCTATCAATCCAGATTTTGAAGTGCTTCTGTTATAAAGTGCGAAAAATCGATATGAATTGAGCAGATTACTTGACCAGTCACTTGACTGAATATAACAATGCGATCGAGTGACGGCTGTTGAATTTACTGACTCAGTTCACTTTTTCTTCTGGTCCAACGAACAGTTGTCAATAGACAGAATAACTTGTTCGCAAAATATGAGCAATTTTATGCAATTAAAATGATACAGTTTTATACAAAATAGATTTGATACAAATAAATATTTGAAGCTCATAAAAATAGTCAATGATTGGCTAGATATGGGTTCCGTAAGTCATTCACATACATATCAAGTGAAGATCTAGTTACTTGTTTCCCCACCATATCAGTTTCAGAAATGATATTGATAATGCATAAATGACAAAATCTTATCCTATAAGCTCCTGTTACGCGTTTTTATACATAAAAAAGTTTTATTGATTATAAGCGAAGATGGATGGTGGCTAGAAGTGAAGTCCAGGATGCGCGTCTCGTCCTACTTGGAGCCCGTCAGCTGGATTTATCTGCATCCCAGAGTTGACGTCCATTCCGAGACTCGATTCCAGTACCGTCCATCAACTCTAGAATGCAGGTACATCCAGCCGACAAGTGCCGAATGAGACGAAACGCGCGTCCTGGATCCCACTGCTAGCCATCATCTCAGCTTATAGTGCTTAAGACTTAAGTCAATGTCAAGACAGTCCACACAGGATGCACATATACCAATAACAAACTAATAGATTTCAGTCCTAAATATCAACGAGAAGATTTAAACAAGCAATAAAAAATGTATTTTATTAATTTACTTAAAATGTTAATTTAAGCATCATCGTATCAATCAATAATAGACTACAACAAGTTGTTCAATGTTCAAATATTTTATTCTTCTTTTGTTAATCACTTTTATTTCGTATAATTTAGTTTACCTATAATATGGAAATGAATCAGATCAACTTTTTACAACTGTTATCATCGAAAGCTAACCAACAATTAACATTGGTATGCAATGAGATTATTTTCAACGATAAAAATCTGCCACGTTTATTTACAAACAATAATAAGGAATTAACACAAAATGGAGCGATTCTTCGTTATAATTTACTGGAAAACGGTTGTCAGGTAACTAGTATTCAATATTATTACTTGTGAACATTGTTGAATTATTTGAAGATAGTGTACATCATGGATAAAATTTGGTCAAAAAACAATTAAAAATTAACAAGTACTGGGAAATTTGTTTTATCTTGGTATGAGACAGTAGTTATGACCAGTGGAATTCGATAATGTTGGAAGTGAGATGGATATCATCAATGATAGTAAATGATGACATACAATATCAAAAACCGACTAGAGTAACAAGTTAAAACCACTAGATGGTATCTTGGTAGTTCTATTGGCTCAGCCTTCTCCATAAAATATGAAGGCTATGGATTTTATCTTTGGTGAGATTTTAGATAAGCACTACTGAGGAACTCAGTACTAGGACAACAAAGCTGTTTAATCCTTTATAGTTATTAGTGACAAACGTTAATCCTTGATATACACAGGTAATTTTCATCACGAACTATGTTACTCCATTCAATTTTTGGATAAATTCATTTATAGACAAATATCATATAAAACTGGACTTACAGAATTTGTATGTTCAATGCCAAGCATATCATTACAGCGCCACTATATTGTACAAAGTCAAATGATTTACATTCTTTAACATAAGTTAATCTCGAAAATTATTTTATTTAAATAAGCTTTTATTCATCATTACATGATCATCTAGACTTTCATTATTTTAAAAACCGTCAATCAGCAGTTTCATCACATTAATATCCATGAAAAAAGACCATTTAAATATGATTCCAATCCAGTGGTTTTAATATTAATCAACCATTCCGTGTACCGAGGGTCCTGCATTCAATCCCAAGAGTACACTAAACAGCAGTTCTATACAGTATGATGTAACAGTCATTCAGTAATGTATCCAGAAGAATTCAAACTATAATTAGCTAGCAATGAAGACAGACATACACTTTATGCGTCATGTTTGACATGGAATAAATGTTCATTCTAAATGACATCGAACTTTATATTTGTGTTATAAAAACTTTTAATTATTTATACCTGGTTACCAATTAAAACTGTAGGACAAATGTATCTATAATTGTGTAATTCAACAAATGCCAAGTCATCACAATGTTTGTAATTGTTGATTGAATTAAAATATAATTAATCTAGCTTATTCTTTTTTATAAATACACTATTATAATAGTCCGTCTGTTAACATGGTTATTTTTCCTTTCTTTTTGAAAAAAAAAACTCAATTACTAATTCAAAAGTCAACAAAATCTACATTTGGAAAGATAACAATTGAAGTGGATACACGACCTCATCGTTTACCATTACGTGATATAATTTTACCAAATGGTATTGATTCACAACAAATTCTTGGTTTGGAATTGGGTAGAGTATGTTTCCAGTAGGAAAATACAACATTTATACTTAACAATATCGATAATAATGATTATGATGATGTTAATTTCTGTGTATGAGTCTTCTAAATTTCTATAAATTAATAAATAAAGTACAATGTATGAAGTATTGTAACCATTTTTAAAACTATAATTAGATTGGTAAACATTTCTTCATCAAGATTTTGTGATTATTTATACTTAGCAAACATAGTTCATTGCTAAATGTAATTGTCTATCCTAGTGGTTACACCACTACTCACTACATATCATTCATATTGATAATGACTCGACAAGACAGATTAGGGATATCCACTTCACTCATTAGTGACTTAATTGAACTGATTTATTTCAAAAATTCAAATCACTTTTTATATAACTTTCATTTATCAACTTTGATCTTATCTAATGAGTTGTAGTTCCTTTTTAGTTATTTAATCTAAAAGTCTGATTATTGACAGACTACGTACTTCACCTTCAGTCATGTGGTCACTTATTTGAAGCTATTTAACATAATTCAATTCAGCAAACTAAATAATATCTTCAGCCCTAACATGCAGATAAAAAAGTTGAATATTTCTAATAACTATGAACAGATCTTCACGTTTTATTTACTATCAGCAACCTCATAGCATTAGATCTCTTACTATTTATCGAAATTTTTATTTTCAACATTTTCATGCATAATTTGAACGTGCTACTCACCAGTAGTAACACATTTAGCATAGAAAACATTCAAAATTTTAAAGGGTTGCTCAAGATCGTGGACCGATTGAAGTTAAACATTTGAACCGTTGGATACCAGTTCAGTGGTCTAGAGGTTGTGTTTGAGCGATAGACCGTAGGTTCTGGGTTCGAATCATGTGTGTGGAATCGTGCTGAGTAGTCCATACTAGGACGAAACATCCATCCAGAGTTTTCAGGTTTTCAATGATGGTCTAGTTTAAATCAACTCGTGAATTCAACTGTTAAAATACGTTAAAAGCCATAGTGCCCCTGTGAACTGGTTAACTAGTTGAGAGTGATTCTCATTTCTGAGATTTTGGTCATTTAAAATCTATTTTAAACCTCATTCAGTTTTACCCCTATGCTTTCATGTTTCACTGATATAACTTGATCAATAGTCACAGTTCAAGACTGCTCACTTGAACTCGATCAAAACTCCCATTGCTTTACAATGGTAAGCCCATAACGATTGTTAAATGAAGTGAATTTGTGATGAACTATTATGTCTTCGTGTAAGGTCATCAATGTAAATTCTTTAGGTATCTGAAATACTAAGATGATAAAACATTATGCAGATAATGTTTCTTTTTGTAAAGAAATACTTACGAATACCTTATCATATTTTTCCCAAATCAGATTGAATAGTTCCCAAAAGTTACCATTGATTTTCGAATATTTTCTCCTTTAATGTTAAAATACAAAGGTCACCCGTTTTTTTATAAATTCCACTGTTCTTGTTTTCTTTTGTGTGTAACATCCATCTTTTGGTAGGTTTTCGTCTAGCCTGAAATTACTTGGTGTGCTAAAGGAGTGTGAGGAGCAGTTTATAAGATTAACTAGAAGAGTAAAGAATAAGAGAGAAAGTAAGCCGATAACTCAATAAGCACATAGAATGTAATTACAATTAATAACGAAAGTAATAGATAACAATCAGAAATAACATAAGCACGAGATTAAGATAATCCGATAATCGAAACTAGAAATCGATAGCGTAACGTTTTCTTTCTTCTTGATTCAAGAATCAGAGAATTCGTGTGTGATAATCTAGAAAGAGGTTAGGCAGTTAATAAGTGAAACACTAAATCTACCAAACTCATCATCATGGTATAATTACAAATGAACTTCTCTTAAACTTAACCGAAATTGTTATCTATTATATTTCCTAGTGGCAAAAATTAATTTCACTTAGGCACTACAATTGGTACAAATACTTTTTAATTTTAAAAAATCCAGTTCTTATATGTAAATAGCGAAGCGATTGTCATCAGTAAGATCGTATGCTCGCCACACTATGCTGTTAATTAATCGAAATTAGAAATGCTAATTGTCTACTCCGAGGTCTGAATGTTAATTTCTCTCCACAAGACTAGAGTTTCCTGTATTTGATCCGCATTATAAGCTGTGAATGGGAATTGTTGATGAGTTCCAAAGTGGAATGAAATAGTGCTTCTCGGTTTTTAGTGGTTGCCTAATTAAAGTCAACAATACTCATCTAAAACCACAAAGAAAAGAAGTGGTCATGAATCGGTCATAATTTGTATAGAAATGTCATAGAGTTGATTGTGCCAAAGTTCTATTGATTCAGCCTAATATGGTTATTTTAACTATCTTCAATGTGACTGCGTTTGTGAGTTAATGTGTGCTAATGTTTGAGAGTAGTTATATGCAATATTTTTACACTTACACAAGAATAAATTTGGATAAAGTACGGTTTTTGAGAGAGAAAAATATGAACTATGAGTACATAGTACCACACTTTTCAACAAAGAAAAACTCAATAAATTATCATCACTACCGTATACAACGAATTAGATTATTAATTAACTGAAAATAGAGAAAATCGAACAAAGTAATAGAAAGAGTGAGAAAAAGAAAAAAAGGAGAAAGAATAAACCAGCTCACAATTTGTATCACAGACTAACCATAGTTAGATAAGTATGGGAAAGACAGTAAATCCGGAATAACTATTTTGTTCGAGTATGATTTTCCTTATCACTGCGGATCCATAAACTCACTGAAACTGAACGTATGACCTTCGAGTCACGTGAAGGACACTTTGCCTTTGATCACTGAGTAGTTTACATGTCTAAGTTCAATCAAGGAGCAGTTTTACACCAGGATGAAACGGCTTTCAGGCTTTCAACGGTCGTCTTAATAAGACAAGTACATGATGTAACCTAAGAAATTCAAAATTCTCTACAAACCCTCTGTAGTAATAAATTATTTTGAACAACTGAAGAAGAAAATGATATATTATCATACAGAAATGAAAACATGTTTACAAGAATGAATGAACTAATAAATAAATAAATAACCCATCCATAAATTATAAATTATATTCAGTTGTTTCAGTGAACAACAATAATTATACTGGGTACAGTTTAGTAAGTCAAAGAGAAATTAGAGATGCTAGTCTTATAGTAGAGTGATAATGATCTTTTGTGCTTATGATCCCACTGAATCATGAAAAAATAACAGTTAAATAACCTAAATTCCGAGGAATTTCAGGAATTTCAAACAATTGATTTCTATCATAAACAAATCTTATTGTCACAAATATGAAGTATTTTATAACGGGGATAAGACTGATACATCTTAAACTTTTGTTGTTGAATTCACAAGCTAGACAACCACTGAAAAACTAGAAGCTCAGGACTCCTCAGCACTGCGCGCCCACGACTCCGCGAGGAGGAATCGGACCCAGTACCTGCGGTTTCGCGCGCAAACACTCAACCTCTAAGACACTGAGCCGGTATCTAACGGTGTTATTGTCTAACTTCAGTTGATCCATGGTCTTGTGCAAACCTTCATCCATTGTCTGAAGTGGATAACTGTCTCCACCTGACACGGACTGGACTCCACTGGTCACCTCTTCTCGCTAGACCTCCAAAAATCCATCTTGAAGCTAGTTACCAGTGAGCAGATGATTATTATTAGTATGGGGATTTGTGGAGGTAGTAGTATTTTCACAGTTGAATTAGTAGAATAAACTTTATTACCATTTCAGTTTGAATGCTTGTTCGACAGATTATGTTTAACAGCATCATAATGTTGATAAAGTGGTCGGTGAAATTTGGCGATTATATTATAAAAGATTTGAAAATTCTTAGTTCCATAGTATATACATAAATCAAATAGTGTTAACTGGTCATCAGGTCATGTGTATACAGGTGGATAAATTTATTCAGATTACTGAAGTTTATAGATCAATGAAGAATAATATTTAACTACTAATCGTAGGAATCAGTAGTATGAAGAAACGGCCAAGAAAAAATATATGATCCACTCACTTTTGACACTGAGAATTTATGGCCTGATCACGCAGTACCCTATTTTTAACATTTTCAGCACTAGTCACTTGGTTTTTGGACAGCGAGTGCACTGATAATCATTTGAAGGCATACAAGATCAAACACTCATAACTTAGTTTCTTTACAGTTTGAAATTGTAGAGGTTGTTGAATTTTATCCTGTGCTCACTAGTGACTAGCTTCAAGAGGAATGTCTAGTGAGAAGACATGACCAGTAGAGCCAAACCGTGTTGGTTGTGGGGCAGTTACCCAGTGCTGATGAGTCCCATGCTACGACAAAACGGCTGCCCAACGTTTCCAGGTTTCCAATGGTGGCCTAACATTGGTCGATTCACGGTTCTAGTTAAAATTACGACTTACGCATGTTCTCTGCCTTCGAGAGTCACATTTCAAAACTAGAGTAAAAAATTTAAGATAACTGCTCAATATGTTTCTTTGTAATCGATAGAGGAATTTTTCGCCTTCCATAAAGTTGGGATAAGTCATCAAAATCTGAATGAGTCTTTTGCATTTTTTTGAGACTTCATCGCTCACCAACACATTAGGTTTAATAAGACCCCAAAGATAATTAAAATGACCAATACAGTCAATCATCACACTTCTCGTGATTTGGCAAGATGTTTGCATAGACCAACCTTTAGGTAATATTCTGCCATTTTTACTAATTGAAACTTATCCCCATGCGTCATGAAAATCCTTCATTTTATTAAAAATCAATCAAGAAATCCTCTGATCAAGGTTACAAGTATACAGTCGGTTACCCATAGCAGTGTAGTTGTAACTTTGCAATATTTGCTTAAGTGAAATTTTAAACAGCCAAATAACGCAAAAATTTACTTCATATTATACGGTCAGTTAATGATAAATCTGTTGAATATGTTACTATTCATAAATAAGGAAAATACCCTATGATTCAAAATAATGTCAAAAATACTCAAGTTTCTTCGAAGTTCATCAGCAGAAATACTTGTAACAT